CACACACACACACACACACACACACACACACACACACACACACACACACACGCATAAATAAACATACAAACTCTTACTTGACTGCAAACTTGATTTGAAATGTCAGTTTACTGCTTCTAAATGCTAGGAAAGCTGTTATTATTTATTAGTAGACTCTACACACTATGAGCTGTGTTAAGGGCCGGGGATCCAGAAGTAGGAAGACATGGTTTTTATCATACTTCATCAGAGTGGCAGGTGTGGAAAGGATGCTCTCCCAGCTCAGGAAAGAGACAGCCTAAGCACAAACTCTGGGATCATCAGGAAACACAAACTTCCAAACCTAAGAGCACTGGAGGCCCACACAGGCCATCTGCCAACTACTCTAAAGACAGAGCACCACTGGTTTTAGAGCATGCTATATTCACACTGGGAGAAGACCAGGGGATATGAGGAGATGCTCCCTTTTCTGTGTGGAATGAGAGCAGTGACAATTCTAATATGCTTCTGACAGAGGTGACTGCCACAGAGAAAATGAGTGATTATTGGAAAGCAGAGCAGAGGTCTACTAAGCAGGGAGGTTAAAAGGGCTTCAGAATGAGAGTGCCAGGCTCAGATTACAGAGTGGGAATCAAAACCCAAGTTTAATTTTCCAGTGGCCTTGTGAGGACTACATATATATGGGCAGGAGGAAGAGAAAAGGAGCCCTTAGGTAGAAGGGGCATGGATCTAATTTATTTCACCTAGATCTTCTCAACAAACAGCTAAGGTCTACATTAGACAAATGAAAAAAATCAAAGGCATTGATGGGGACATTAGCAGACAAGAGGGCAAATATGAGGAAGTGGCAAGCATCAGACTTGCTTCCATTCATGTACCCTCTCAATAATCTAAACAGCAATTATTAGTAGTTTCCAGGTGCTACACCACAAGAAAAAGAAGGAAGGAGAAAAACTACAATTATTTCCTTTATAGATTTAACACTAGAAAAAGTGGTATCTGTAACTTAAAGTGTGAAAGAAATTAAAAAGGACCAGCGTGATCGCTCACTGGGTAAAAGTGCTTCTGCCGCACCTGGTGACCTCAATATTGCTTCAGGACCCTTGTGGTATAGGAAAGAACTAACTCCCACAGGCTGTCCTCTACCTTCCATGTGTGTGCCATGGCATGAGCACACACATACAAAATAAACAAATTGAAATAAGTAGAAAAGACAAGAAAGCATTATAATACATAAGACAACTTGAATTTTTTCATTAAAACTGTTAGAGAATCAGGGTTTGAGGCTGTAGGTCTAGACTAGAAAGAGCCCAGCAGTTCAGAGGCTATCTTAAGGTGCTCCATGAACATGCCAATGTCCCTATTGTGTCCATAAGGGGACATGTGCTGTGTGACACCTTTCCTCTCCTCTGGCTGATAACCCATCTTTTGGTTTTTTGGGAAACCTCTCCCATTTCTCCTAAAATACTTGTCAATTCTTCACAAATGTTCATGTGGTCCTTTACCTGTGTCTCTGCTACAACACATGTGCAACTAGTTGGTCAATAGGGGATCCTTTTGCATGTTTACTTAATTGCAAACTTCTGAACAACAGCAATGTATTCTTGTATTTCCTGTGCATAAAACACACATCCCAAAGAATGCTGGCTCAATGGCGGCTGTTTAGGTTTGTTCTCCTGTTTAACTTGTTTCAGATACAATGTCAATTGCTTTCTTCTGGAGATATACTTCTGATTATGCTGATCATTAGAACTTATTCTACAGGCTTCAGAATGCCTGTAGAATATGGATATACATTTTGGAGTCTGATAGTCAAGAGTCTCAGACAACCTGTTTTTCTAGCTATGAAATAAGCTGTGTCCTAATGAAACATTTTTATTAACCCCCTAAACTGATGATCACTTCAAACTGCCTCTTCCTAACTCCCCAGGGTCCAGTCTCACTTGACCTGGCAAGATAAGGTCACCTTTACAGGGCCTTTCCTGATCTCCCAGATAAATGGAGTCTCTTTCCTGTCTGTGGACTTGTTATGGCATCTACAGCTTCCTATGTTGTTGTTAAGTCAGCCACACACAGGACTTGTTTGAACTAAAAGTTCATTTGTGGTAAGAACTGTGTTTCAGTAATGTATACTGTTCTTAGAACCAAGCACACTGTGCCATGGAAGCCCACTTTGTTGAATAAGAACTAAGTGTGAGTCCTTTGTTAACTGTTTTAGGAAAAGAAGTGACATAGTTACTTTGTATCAGATATTTCAGTAGGACCTTTATATAATCACACCATCATAATAGTTCTTATAAAAAAAAGATGAGATGGGGATTATTAGCTTAGCATCACGGAAGTCAAACTGTGACTCTGAGACTCAAAATAACTTACCCAAGACCCACAGGTTGGGAAGCGGTAAAACCAAGGCAAGAGTTTAAGACTATCTTATTACAGAGCTCATGCTCTTCTGCATCTCTCATTGGCTTGTTTTGGTTTTGTATATGTGCTTATGTACATTAATAAACAGCACTGACTGCCTATTGAGCTCAATGACCACATCACAAAAATTAGAGTGCACTGAAATAATATTAAAAAAGGTTTATAGTTTTAATTTCTCTCTGAATTTTTGACACCTTAATCTAAGTATAACCTGGGAAAGGTTTAAATAATGTATTTCAATGCACTGCAAGGTAAAGAGTTTTCTTGTTGTATTCTTACTTTAGGGGCAAAGGTATAACTGAATGATTTCTTGCTGAATTCTCTAGTCATGGAAAAATTATCAAGATGGTCTCTGTGTAGTTTCAGGCCATTTAGTTTTGGAAGGACGGAGTGATAAGCAATGCAGTTTGTGTAGCAGTTAATGCAGTCAGTGTTCATAGAGATGCTTCTGAATTAAATAGCTAAACACTAAAATAGCATTTTATCAAACAATCATCATAAATAAAATGCATTTTGACTTTACGATGACATGTGCTCTTACAGGAATGTTTCTTCTGCAAGCTAAGTATTGCATAACAAATTAAAGAACACACATTTATGTGGATAAAAGGCAAATAAACTTTCCCCAGCAATAATGTGGGAATCATCACTGACGGTTTGACATATCAATATTTCAGGAAGAATAAATGACTTTCATATCTGCATTTTTAAAAAATCATATACTTATTCATTTTTGCATCACCTGAACACTTTGGAAAGACTCTGTGCTTTATCACCTGAAACTGTTAAAAGTATTTCAAAATATTTTAATAAAGCTTTTTGAATGATCAAATAATGTAACTTTTAAACAAATTTTACTATTATTATAAATATTTGCTCTTCATCCCTTGCCCAAAGGAAAACTATAAATCTTGTCTCAACTGAATGAACACCATTTATCATATTCATTTTGTTGTCAATACAATTATGAAAAGCCTTTGGCCTTTTCCCAAGGAAGCTGATTTGCTACTGAAACTCAATTATTATAAGCAAGGCCAGTAGCAAGCCACTGTGTTTGGCAATGTAGCACAGCTTGCTGCATAAGTGACACCTCACCCTTCGCCCCTGACCTCAATAACTTCAACATCTATGGTCAAATGGAGGAGATACCGGTTTCTAGTTCAAAACAAAACACTAAGTCCCAAGATTTTCCATTTCTGCCATCTGCTGGACAAATGCTGAAATGGAAACCAGATTATATTTGTTGACACAGGAGGGAGTTTCTGACCTTGGCTCTTCTGAAAACTGGTGAACAGGAAATAAGCCTGTTAATTGTTGGATGGCTGGCTTTAGAGCCTGGTTTCAAGTGAATAATCAATTTTTTTGTACCAAAATTAGGCTTTTATGATTTTCCAAATAAATGAAAAGTTTTGATTTTGTAAGTGGGTATTTAGAGAAATAAAATGGTCATATATATCTGGTCTAGCCTTCATAGATTAATTTAAGACTTTCTTATGATTAAATTTATAACCTCTGTACACATATATGTATAAGGCATGTAGTTGATTCTTCAGGGCCATGAAAAAGGCTTATCTGTCTGATCAATAAGAAAATAAATGAGGAAGTAGGTTTCCATAGCAACTAAAACCTTAAGTCACTAATACTTTAAACATTGGTGTTTAAAATTTTTCATAATGTATAGTGTTCCCTCTAAAATATGCTCAGATCTGTTATGTTTTGGGCCACAGCTATGGCACAGTCACTGACACTGCTTTTAAGAAGTTTCCTTTACAATATATAAAGAAAGTTTGGATAAGAAAGACATACATAAAGCAAGAGAGAAAGAATACCCCTTAAATGTAAATTAAGTTGTGCATGTTACAGGTCTGTAATCCTAATATATAGGTGGCTGAGACAGGAAGACTAGGAGATTAAGTCCATTCTTGGCTCCATGCCAAGTCTGAGGCCAACCTGGGCTACAAGAGACACTGTTTAAGAAAAAAATCCACAAAATATAACAATAAAATATTTGCTTTAGAGTAGAATTTTCTTATGTGCTGCTGGTTTCAAATGTAAAGGGCATGAGGCTATCACGTCAATGACCTGTATAAACAGACATCTCCTGTTAGGATCAAAGATGATTCAGAGTACTATTAACATGTTAATAAATGTTTATGGCCATTGTGTAAGTGTCAGACATCAGACAGGATGTTTACTTATCTCAGTGGTCACAGTAAACCAGGATACCGAATTATCTTCTTTGCTGGATGATGACATCAAATCTTTGAGAAATACAATGATTTGCTGAGGTATACACAGTAATTGAAGAGCTGGGACTTCAAACCTCATCTGTCTTTTTATTCTTATGTGATGAAGCATTTCTGTATAGGGACTCCCCTCCCCCATCTATACAGTTTTCAAATTTTATAGCAAGTGACAAATCCTGGCCATTTATCACCATCCCCTTCATGACCATTAACATCCTCATCAAATGACCAACTATAGCATTATAAGTAAAATATCAAAAAGATAAACTAATTGATATGGAACAGAGACTTCGAGTCTCCTCAGAAAATACCACATGGTACAAATCACTGATCACAAATACAGATATTAGCTACATGATGCCTGCAGCCCCAACATAAACAATCATTTGAGGGAAGTGATTTTTAAGTTGTCAACATTTAATGGGTATCTATCAAAAAAGTGACCTCTTTGAGCCGGGTCTCCAAATGCTGTGCTCAGTTATCTGCACTGCTGCCACTGTGCTGTAATTTTTAGCTGATTACACATTAGTTCATTTAGCTTTGTTTCCTCTTCCCCACTGTGCCACACTATTAAACGAAAGAGAGGGGCCTGGCATCCCTCTGTGCACAGAGCTGGTATTGTCACAGTGTAATAAGGATACATCCAGTCAAACAGCATGGTGTAGCTGGTCTTTGTGTTCAGTGCAAAGGCAATCCCTCGAAGATCTCTTGCCAGCCCGATCAACATACGCTGTCAGTGGGGAAGAGACACAGTAATTGATTTTCACGTTAGCGCAGAGCAGATGGAGTAATAATCAGGCAATAATGACCACATATCTGATTCTGATTCATTAGCTAAAATGTCTCGCTCAGATCCCTTTCCATAGAAAAACCATAGACTCTTTAATAAACAGACCATCAATCTGCTGACCAACTCTACTCTTCTTATAAACTGAGCTAAGTCATAATTCCAGGAGCACACAAACATTGCGACTCAATATATATTTTATCTGAATTCTGCCAAATTTGAAAAAAGGACCAGGATTCATAATTTCACAAGAGATATATAATCTAGACATTACTTAATAGCAAATCTCAACCAACTGGCTTAACTAAAATCAACCTCACTATACAATTTAGTCTGCCCTGGAAGCACTGGCATTTACAGATCTCCAAAAAAAGTTATAATAATTCAGGACAAATAAAACTGGCTAGGTGACCTACTGCATTATAATTTGCTCAGAAAGGCAGCCATATTGTTCAAGTTAGTGAATAATGTAAGGAAAAAAAGTTCTGTACTTAATGTCACAAGACTCTGAAATCGAATTCTAACTTTGTTTAATTCTTAAAGTCAAGGCAATTCATCAACCTTAGTTTGCTCATCTATCAAAGGGGCTAATTATAATTATGACCATTGTACAGACCTGCTATGAGAGATACATTTGTGTGCAAAAATGCCTAGCAATAGCCTGTCAAATAGTAAGTGTAGTTCACAAATGGTTTTAGAAAGGAGAGGGGGAAGCCAAATCAAACCTTCTTGACATGAATCATGCTCTGGACTCTTAATTAAGCTGTCCTTAGGATGATGATTGGGAAGAGAAAAGAAAACCCGTGAACAGATGCTAGAATGTCAGAACAAAGAGCACAAATAAACATAATTGCCCAACAAGGAGGTATGGTAGTTGAGATATGCAACTGTGATTTCTGAATATACTGTTTCAGTAGAAATGCTAAGCCAGAAAATGGTCTCAGGATCTTTACAGATTGACTTTGGTAATGAATGGAAACTGTCTAGTAAGATGCCTGTTAGCAAGTAGGCAATGAGTTTTGACCATCTTAATTATGGAAGACATTTCAGAGAAACAAATCATAGTGAATAGTCAGACATCCTGCTCCTCTGACCTAACAGGTGACTCAATGTACCTGGAAGTTGTCTATGGGACTATTCAATTTCTAACAATTTTTGGAATTATGGAAAACCAAAGTTCTGAATCTGAAAACTCCTAATTTCATTTTTTGCTTAAATGATCGACCCATTTAGCTTTCTCCCAAGACATCACCAGCTCTTGCTTTTCTACTATCACCAGGCCTCTTAACAATTACCTCATGTTACTGTTATTTTTTAAATTACATACTAAGCAGTTTTTTTTTTTTTTCACCAGTTAGAACCGGTCCTTCCTTGCAGCCTCCAAAACAAAATCTGTCATCTATGAAGTATTCTCTGAACAGTTGTACTCTGGCTGCCATCTATGCTAGACTATGGATTCTACTTGGTTTTACCATCTATTATAGTACTTTTTAAAAATTCTATTTTTATTATGTACACTTATATAGGCTACTCTTCAGGTAATTTTAAGCTTCCATATACACATAAGATATCCATTCTTCAATACTAAATTAGTAAACAAAAACCATGAATTTTACTTTCTGTCTTGTACAAAGGGCTTTTCATAAAATGTCATTATACAAAAGGTTAATTTTTATTTGGTTAGAATTTTCTCCCTTGAAGGTACCAAGTTGATACAAATGCTCTAATGAAGTAAATCTATGATCTTTTTGATACAGGAAAATGTGTCATAAAATTATACTAATGTTTTACTTTTGGAAAATGTTACTTCAGAGCAGAGATAGTGTATAACAAAATAAATATAAGTTTTAGATAGATTCACTCTAGCAATAAAGTATAGTGTTAATCTAAAACAGATTCATTGTATTAAAAAGTAGCAGTTCTCTCAGGGCAGCACAGATACATAAACAATGCTACAGAAGAATTTTCTCAATACTCAGCTCTGGTACGAGACAGACAGCCTTAATCAGGAACTCACACCTAGCAAATGACCAGAATCTTGGGGGTGGGGCTGCAGATCTAAAAGGTGATGAGTTCCAGTAATTTTCTTGAGGCTTATTTGAGGAGTGGGGTACGTCTAGTGATCTAATCCTACGAACTCCTTTCCGGAGAGTTCAAGAAGAAAGTGCTGAGAGCTTCAGTCCATGGCATGGTGAACAGTTGTCTGTGTGCCAAATGTGAGACGGATGGGCTGGGAAACAGCTGAAACGCAGCTCCTTCCACCCTGACCCCCAAACAGGGTTTCTAATGGGAAGTCTGACAGACCCTTTACTGTAGTGGCACTACTGGGGCAGCTATAATATTATCCTCATAATTCTACTATATAATAACAACAAAGAAAAAGAAGGTGAAGGGTCATTGTGCTTTGTCTTTAGAATTAAGATGGCTGTCTTCATCCTTACAGCATACTCTTAATTCTGGAGACACATCTTAATAACCTCTAAATAGTTCCAACAAAAGAGCCGTGTCAGAGGAATGAGCAGGCCCCAAGGTGTTTCAACTGGAGTGTTTTCATCTGCCTTTATTGCTCTATCCCTCTCCAGAATTAAGGCAATAACCTGTGATAAATTATTCAGGAACTGCTACAGGGATCAAAGCAAAATCATTCTGTTAAAGTGCTGTTTGCAACATTTGGCACTTAGTGCGAAAACTTTTAATGTGCGCATGCTGAAAATCAAGGATTTTAAATAATTTAACATCGGGGAGTTTTTACGAAGGGACTAAAGATAGCAGGTTCCTATTTAACTGCTCCTCTTCCTCTGAGAAGTTTTCATTCATTTTCCTTAAAACCAGTGACGTCATGGCTGAATTGAAAAATATGCATGAGCTAGGGTAACAGCACACTATATTTTACTATGGATAAAATGTTGGGGGGTGGAGGCCAGAAACATTTTGAAATAATACATAACCAGGATTTTTTTTGTTGCTGTTTCTTTCTTTCCCTTTGACTTTGGAGAGAGAAGACAAACAAAAAACCCTAAAGACAAAATTTCAACATTTGCTTCAATTTTATCAGGAAAAAGTAAAGAAAACAAAGTTATAAATAAGGGCTTTTAAGCATTTCTTTTTCTCACAGTATTTCAGTTTGGCAACACAGGTCCTTCCTAAAAATCTGCATTTGAAAAATATCTATAAATAGGGATTTAGATGATCCTGGTAAGGGTTGCAAATTAAATGAATTTGGCAGTCCTGCAGCATTTTCATAAAGATATTTTAGCAGCATCACCTCCTGTGGATTGGAATACTAAATACTTTATTGGAAAACAAAACAGAACTGTTTTCATCTCTGGTACTAGCCCAATGAAGTACCTGAAAGCACCTTTGCATATATTATTTATCCACCACGATTGAAAAATAGCCTTAACCTAATAAATTACACTTAAGAGCATTTAGTGCAAAAGTTTTGTTTATGATAAAGCAACAGATTTCGTTCCTTATTGGTAGCTTTAAGCACCAAGTTTTCTTCATACAAATTAGACAGATGGTGCTTACAGTAGAATTTCCTAAAGGTCTGTCACAACAAATGCAGCCAAGCTGCATATTTAATCACTGCAGAATCTTGTCTACCTGCAGCTGCCAACTGCTAATCCAATTTCCCTGATAAATGTGGCAAGAGACACGATCAGCAATAAAGAGCATCTAACTCCATTTTCCTGCAGGGCGTCTTTTGATGAACATTTAGGACGGAAGCACGGAGTGCACTGTGTGGCCTTGGTTCGTGGCAGCTGCATGCATTCTGAGGCACAGTTCTCAGGTTACTCACTTAATTCTGCCACTATCATTACGTTGCTATTGATCTCAGTAGCTGTTGCCTACACAGCATTACTCTAGATGAAGCTGAATCAGGCAGTTATCATGCATCAAACTTGCTCAAAAGCCTGGAGATTTCCCCTTAATTACTTGTGATTTTATTTGCAAATACCGTTAAAGTGTAATCAAGCAGTCACTTTCCAGGGTCGTTAAGAACTTGCTAGTTTAGGGATATATCACTGGAACTCCATTAAAAATGACTCTAGGAAGATGTTTTCTATCAAACTAGATGGAATTACATCTAAACAGACTTGGAATATAATGCAATCTTCAAATGAGACAAATGCAATTTTTATAAAGATAGCAGTTTTCAACCTTACCAAATCTTTTTGATAAGGGGCAGCAAGGTTTACTTAAAAGCTGCAAAGATTCTGTTGGTCAGAAACATTTGGAAGACATCGAAAAAATATAGTTTGTTTAGCTAGGAACTGACAAAGAATTTAGGAAGATCATATAAACAAAGAAAAATCGAGTATTTACTTTTTAAAATTTCATGACTATGTTATCCTGATAAACATCTAGTTTGGTAATTTTTTTTTCACAGAAAAATGATATAAATATCAGCAAAGGCCATCCTTTTCTAATTGGTCTTATGGTATTTGTGTGTGTGTGTGTGTGTGTATGAGAGAGAATAAGAGAGGGAGGAAGGAAAGGAGTGAGAAGAGAAGCCATGAAAAGATGGATAATATTTCAACCTATTTCAAATAACAATAACATGTGGCTAGAGCATCACCAGCAAGGGTACCTACTTCTCTGGAGTGCATTTATTATTCTTAAAAGTAATAATCAGTGTCAATCTATTTAAGATAGCTCTGATACAGTATAATTTCAGGAGACACTATTTTTGTTTGGCAAAGCTCCTGCTTCCCATCCCCCACATTAAAATATGGGGCTGTTTTGTCACAAACAGCTTGCTACACTTAAGGATTTTACTAATAAAACATAATGTTGTCTTAGATATTATGACTGTTGCCACAGCTGAACTGACTTGTCAAATCAATCCTAATATGGCTCCCACAGGCACATAAAGCCTTATTTAGCTATCAGTTATCCTAATCACTTTGTTCAGTTTAAGAATGCAACACTTCAAGACTGGCTCCTATTTATACACATATGCCTAGCCATTTAATAAAGTCTTGATTTATATAAATTCTTGTTTAAAAAATCTTCAGAGATGTAAGGTTTTAGTATGTGTGCATGTCTCTATATGGATATGCTGAAAGACACAGAGCAGGGTGGATGGGAGGTAGTGATGTTTGTTTGTGGTTTGCCCACAGATCTGTGCTATTACAGACAGTGAGCATCACTGGAGACAAATCTGCACCATGTAACCATGAAGTGACTATCCTAAGCCACTCACTGACCTCATAGTTCGCTTGCACCCAAAACTAAAAAGTGCTTACATTAAAGCACATCTTATAAGCATATTACTTAGAAACATGGGCCTGAGACATACATATATACAAATATAGAGACATACAAGTACCTTCTCTGGTGTTAGGCACTGAAAAAGAATACTTGTCTTTCCTCATGTATGGAAACAAACTCACCTTCACTTCTTCTTGTTTAAAGTTGTTGTTGAATATTTGCAAAACTGTTTCAAAAGACACTGTGAGAGGCAGCATAAAATTCTCAAATTCATCCTCATCTTCACCTACAGAAGAAACAAAGGGGTTGCTAAGGTTTAAAACGTATGCTAATGTACATTAGACTCAACATGGAGTGCTTCACTCAGGTTTAGTGCTCCTGTGAAGAGGTCAGCCTGCATCCCCATCCATGCCACAATTGCTGCTGTGGCTCATTGAATGCTCTGGTTTTTTGCTCTGTCTGTTACACCAAATGAAACAGCAACATTACCCAACAGCCATTTCCCCGCCTGGCTCTGACTGACTCATGCCCGAGGCATTTCCACCCACTTTTACATCTTGGGGCCCCCAGAGTTTCCCTACTTCCAAAGCTCTATAGACAACAGTCTCCCCCTTTCTTTTTTTTTTTTTTTCCTCCTTTGGTGCCAAGGCCTTAACAGGCTCACAGACTCAGGTGCTGAGATAGTTCTAAGCTATTATTCTCTTTTATTTATATTCTTTAAAACATTAACTTATGGGGGCTGAAAAAATAACTAGCTCAGTGGTTAAGAGCACTTGTTTTTAACAGAGATCTGAGTGCTGCTCCCAACACTGACATCAGACAGCTCAAACTGCCTGTAACTCTAGCTCCATGGGATCCAACACCCTCTTCAGGTGGCACACACTCACAAACACACATATATACAAATACAAACAAATCTTTAGAAATTAACTTATTAATAAATGGCAAAGGATGAGGTTCACTCATGGTTCATTAATAGCATTTGCTATTAATTTTTCATATAAAGGTAGAGTATATTTTCCTTAAGGATTCTGTCAAAACAGAATCTTCATATGCTAATAATTTGCATACCATTCTTTTCAAAATCAGTTTCTCTAAAATTAGATTGGACTCTCATCCATTCTATGCCACAGGGAACCACTTACTAATAAAGCAACAGAAAAACGCTTATATGTCTTACTGAAGGTGCTACTTAGAATAGAACTATATGGTTCAGACCTTTTGATTTCTGTGCTATTAGTAGTTTTAAAATATAGATGCTGGTAGGAAAAGACTTCAGAGAAGAGACCAGTGGTCCTCAATGGTTGTTACTTGTCCTAGAAGCAGGACCACTACTTGGGACTTATGAGATGCCAACTTCTCAGAATCTCTGAAGATGGAGGACAGCAGCAGATAAAGTCTAAGGCCACACACACACACACACACACACACACACACACACACACACACTCGATGGTGAGTCTTTTGGTTTACTTTGATCTTTTATGATTTCCCCTTAGAACTTATATAATTTGCCTTTAGAGTCCAACAGAATAGAGAACACAAAAAGATGCCAAAAGTCAATGAATTGTTCCTAGTGTTCTAGTCATGGGTAAAGAACAAGGCAGACCAATTTATAATCTCTGCTCTGCCAAGTGACTATGTGACCATATCATTCGTCATATCCAACACTGGTTGTTACAGTTGTTATTTTCAAGGCTTACACCCAACAAGGTCATCTAAAGATGGCACACCCTTCCTAGACCTTATACAAGTGCTCCATCTGTTTCCTTTCTATTTCTGTCGAATGTCCCTCTCAATTTAAAGCATATATTTAATTATACCATCAATACTTTAGCCACTTACATGATACCATCACCACTTGATCAAAGCCTCCATGCACTGAAGGAAAGGGAATTTATAATGTGTGTATGTAAACTATTAACTACTAACCTACACTGGCTGCTATCTTGGGGTTAGTTTCTGTGTCCTGCCACAGTGTGCTACTGTTTTCCTGTCACAGATGATTATGAAAGGCTCTGTAGTACATAGATTCAGGAATCTGACTTTTACCACAAATTGCTTAACCTTGGGGGTATTTTACTAATCACCGAATCTCATCTTCCTCATCTACAAAATGAGGAAACTGTCTATTTTTTAAGGTTTCTGGAAAGATTAAATGCTAAAATACATGAAAAATAGATGTTTTACATATACCAATGGTGGTATTAGTATTAGCTCTAAAAACAGTGCCTTCTGTTACTAGGGAGGTACTCTGTTTGAAAGAAAAACAGTTGTTCAACAAATTTCCAAAGTCCTGGGTCAGGTCAGATTAAAGGTTCAAGCCTGTAATATCAGCACTTGGAAGTGGAGGCAGGGGAATCAGGAGTTCAACGCTAGGCCCAGCTGCTTGAAAACCCATTAGATCAAAGTGTTTTTTTTTTTTTTTTTTTTTTCAAAGAGCCTGGGAAGGTAGCTCAGAGGTAGAGTTAAAACACTGCCCTGCATGTGTGAAAGACCTGGGTTCAAATGTTACCACCACAAAACAAACACAAAAAAGACTCTCTAGGAAAAAAACCAAAACCCCAATCTAATAAGTGAACATTATCAAATCCTAGGTACACACTACACATGTACACTGAACTTAAAAACATAATCTTACTCTACGGTAAAGTGTTTTCTAAAAATGATTATTAATAAAAACAGTGATAATTATCCCTGCAGGCAGAAGGGTGCTGGAAAGAGTAGATGCTCCAAAACCAAGATGTTGATTTAAGCTTCAGTCCTGGCTCTGCTACTGTTAGCTGTCTGGCATCTAAGCCTTAGTGTCCTCATTTGTAATTAAGAGATACAATATTTACTTCATAAAGTTAGCTGTGAGGATTAAATGACAAAGCATCTGCACCTCCCCTTGCTGGCACTTCATAAATGACAGCCATTAGCATTTTCGTTGTCCTGAGTTCAACATGGACTTAGAGAGGTGATTATGATAATTAAATAAAGTGTGACCACACGACTGCCAGCCCAATAAATACCCTTCCTTTGGGAATGAAGCTTCTTTGACAAAGCTTAGACACATTCCAATGAAAAGAGAGATGTTTATTCATAACAAACACTAATTCAGAGCTTCTGTATTTCAACTTTATATTTTGAGCTATAGAAAAAACAATCTTCTAGATTTCATCTATTTTACAAATCAAAATTCTTGAGGCCCACTCAATAGGCAAGAAACCATGCCTGGTCTTAGAAACCAACCAAATGCCTGGGATAGTAAGGTCATGAGTCTTAGAAGAAAACCTGCTATTGCTACTTTACCACACCATCAAAATTTCTAACTTCATTATAAAACTTATCCTTATCCTCACTTCTCAAAGAAGCCCCCCTTTACAGTAGGTGGGGATCAAAAGAACATGGGGAGCTCAGTTAAATATCTATAACATAACTCCTTCACCGAAGGCTCAGGAAACATGGAGGAACAAGGGACATAGAGATGTAAGAGCCAGAGGACCAGTGAGACTGAAGTTCAGAAATAATAGGGAAGATACACCCATTGATATATCAATAATATGGATTCTGAAACAAGACCTGAATAATGACAATATTAACAGACATGATAATAAGGAAAGGGCTCAATTTGACCTGATCCCTCCCCCTAGACAAACAATTGTAGGCAAGTAATGCCTACTGAGAAAGGGAGGATTAGTTCCTACAGGGATGAGCCCCTTAAGTGGTCAACCCTAAAATCATATAATTATATACACATAAGCCATACAAAATGGAATCAGCAGATCGAATGTATATATTTATATGTGTGTGTGTCTAACAGTAATGGTCAAAGAAAAGGAGGCCATCAGTTTGAGCAGGCATGAGAATTGACATAGGGAGAGACTGGGAGAGGAGACATGAGAGGGGTTGAAAAGAGAGGAAAGGAAAATGGGAAGCGACACAATTATATATTAGTTAAATTTTAATAAAAATTTGAAAAACAAGTATTTCAGTTGCGCAATGGTGGAGCACGTCTTTAATCCCAGCACTTGGGAGGCAGAGGCAGGTGGATCTCTGAGTTTGAGGCCAATCTGATCTACAGAGAGAATTCCAGGACAGCCAGGGCCATACAGAGAAACCCTGTCTTGAAAAACAATAAACAAACAAAACCCTAAAGATTTCATCATGTGAAAACAAAACAAAACAAAACAAAATAACATACAATCCAATAAATAGGAAGCTGTGCAGCAGCACTACTATATGCAAAATATCCACAGGCCTTTTCTGCCCACTGTATTTCAAGTGACTCCCTCTACCATCATTTCCCAACCTTTCCTGTTCTTATTGGAGTTACTATGACTGGAGTTACTATGACCTTTTATATACTTTGTCATTTGTCTTCTTTATTAGAATATAACCTTCTGGGGGGATGAACACAATCTACTTGGATCATGCTATCTCTCCAGTATTTAGAATAGGGTTTGGATGAATTCAGTACTGAATTTATTCAAAGAACGCTTTCATGGCTCTTAACTATATTCAACAAACTGTTGGAACTCACAATCCCATGACATCCTACAATCGCCTCAAATTTTACATGGGAACAGAGAAGCCCTGAAGAATTAAGTAGCTTGACAAAAACCTTCCCACTGATAAATGCCAGTGATGATCTGAGATCCTGATCAGGTCTGTTTTGCTCTTAAGTCCCCCCAATATCTCTGACGGAGTGGAAGATATCACAATTATGGAGTGAAGTCAGTGACACAGAATCTTGAATTTGGAGTTGCAAAAGTCAGAAGGGAGTAAAAAACATCTTGGTGCTGGTAAGGAAAGTAGAACCCCTACGCAACAGTGAGTTTAAAGCAGGCCAGTGCTGGGAGGGAGGTCATCAGCAGTGTCTCCACTGCATTTAGTGCTGTTCCTGTGTGACTCAGGGTAATGTCTTGCTGACTAAATGGGAAAACTGGCTACTTTCATCAGCATCCATTAAGGATTTTTCTCTGCCTTGTATTGTTTACAGAGGTACCATTTTCTGTTTCTGATGCAAAAGAAGAAAACATGAGATGTCTTATAGCTTCAAATTCAAGGATGTAGTCATATATTTACTGTGCAAAATGTACATGTCAGGATCTTGTGAACAATAAGGGTAATACTTCTTTCTAGTAAGTCAAAGGTCATGAAACTAATATAATTTATAGGTAAAATGCTCATTAACAAACTATCTCCAACTCTGAAAGGTAAGTTTTTATAGTAATACACATTTTAAGTTCTTCATCACCCATAAAAAGATAAATTTTTTTGGCTTTTAGGACATCGCCAAAC